ACTTTTTTTCTTCAAGTGTTATTCGAGAATAACTATAAAAATTGATAGGTTTCCTTTTTAGAAGAAATGATTTTTGTTTCTTAAAATTAAATCCTGTTTCATTTTAACAAAAATTACAAACAGTTAAAGTAGAGTCTTTAACAAGCAAATAAATGTATTACATACAGCTTCAGTAACCAAAATAAAAGCCAAAAAAAAACATGAATAAGATGAAGAGATCATGATCAATGCAATGGTGTATCAACGAGAGAATAGATAGTAATGAACGATAGAAATATTGCTTTATTTTTTAATAACGCAATTTCTCTATGCGATAAGGAGAAACGTTGTGCCTTGATACTTCATCAGGTTATCAATAAATTTAGAAGAGCAAGTAATGGATATTCGTATATGTAATATAAAACGATGATAGAGTAACCTATGATTTCAAAGTATTCTTTATCTCACCTTAATTGCAACTGTTTGTAGTGACCGTTTACAACAATCATAAATGATATTTTATGGTTTATTATAGCCATCGTAAACAATGACTGTAGAAAAACTGCTATTAATAACTAGAGTAACAAAGCATCGACTATAAATACTGCTAGGATAATATCTTAAAGCATCGTATGCGTCGCCTGTGAACGGTTTAATGAACGATCATAATTTTTTATTTCCATTCGTCGTGAACAGTCGTTGATGTTAATGACATGCGCTCATGATCAACTATAGACGTCATTTTGCAACAATACTTCCTTATCAACGAAATTGAGAGATAGTCGTAAGACATGCTCGACACCATATTTTCATAGCATTTAGTACATTTAGAACTGTTTTATATTTGTAAACTCGGTTGATACAGTGTAGAGTATCGATAAGATTCACGAGCCTCATAAGAGTTTCCACAGTAAAGCAAATGTACAGAGGCCCATATCAAGAGTCTAGACTCTTTTTCTTCATTACAAATTTCAAAATAGCAGGAGAATCTACATCATTTGATTTTTGACAACAAATATGTTTTAACACCTTTTTTCTACAATGCTCTATAAGAATCAAATTGAAAGCAGTCGTGTCAAGTAATTTGTAACTTTTCAAGCTGCAGTTTACCCAAGCATTGGAGAAAAATCGTATTTTCATCTGATTTTTAAGTAAAGAAAAGAAAAAGCATTTAAAGGTATTTCCTGAAGACTCAAATGGAATTTGTAATGATAAAGGACATGCCGAACGCTACTAAACATTTTCGATTAATGCGTATCTGCATTTTTCTATGATTTCTATCAAGAAAAAGTGTGACTTTTTACACGAATAAGTAGGCTTCACAGTGAACGTCCGACTTAATTAAAGTATGTAATCGTTCCTTCACATACTTAAACAGATCAACCAAACTAACGTAAGGTAAAAACTTGAATTGATTAAAAACCTCTCAAAAAATATGTTGAATTAGTTCACTTGTGTCTCATTCTTGAAATAATCTCTCGCAACAACATCATCATGACATGAAAGATGAAAGTATAGTTTTGATTAAGCCGCAGCACATTTGATAATCTACAATTTATAAAATATCTTTGTTACAAAAAAAAGCAAGCCTTAACATATACTGTATTCAAGTATAAGCAGTACTAATAGTTCATAGTTGTAGGCACCGTACTAGGACCCAGCAAATATGTCCTAGACTTGTAGAGGTCTTCTTTTGGAAACTACTTCATTTAGAGTAATCTACAGATAAAAAAACTGTTTAAAACGAAAAGGAATTTTTTTTACACCCGCTCTTATTCTAAGTACTTCTCAAAAGCTGAAACAGCTTTGATTATACGGAAAAGATCATTAAATAATTTTTCTCAGAAACCTTCAAATCAAGGTGATTTCCAAGCCACACGAACGGATATCCAATAAATAAAATATTTTGAAGCCTTTTCGTCAATGTCACGTTTCTATAAGAGCCATTTCAGGTAAACTACGGCTGACTCTCATAGAAAATGCTCAAATCGATGGTGAGAGGTTTGACTAAATTTTATATATATATGTTGTTGCAGAAAATGTTCGATGAATTTCTACGCAAACCTTTCGAAAAACATATTGTTTCTTTTCGCAGATCTACAGGTTTTTCTAAGTTCACTATCAACGAAAAAAGCATAGTTTTTGCAATTTTTTGTGACAGCTATATTTTATGAAGAATACATTCGTTTGTGTTCGAATTTTCCGTGCAAATACAACTAGGGTTCGGATACTAACCACACCAAAATTAAACTCAAATAAATGAACTGTTGGTAAGCTGAGAAATACTACCATTTACACAAAAAATTGTCATTATTATGTATTTTCTGCATATACATATTTTATGAGCATATTAAGTTCAAGAGCTGAAATTTTGGCCAGATGGAGACCTTATTGAGTACTCATTTTGGTAGGAATTTCAGTTTTTAAGATAGCTCTTGACATTCAGGAGACCTTCTAAAAAATCATGATTATGTTCAAAAATCCAATTGCGGCAGGAACTAATCTAGATGGAAATCTACTCTACAGCAGTTGAAGTTTCATGGTTTTGAAATGCATACTGAGTGCCGAAAAGTTCTGCAAGAATTAGTCTGAGACATGGTAAAATAACCAGCGATGCCTTACTAAACAAGTGCACTGGAACGGATTCATGCTCATATTTTATATAAACAAATCGTTTAGAAATTAACTGAGTGTGGATGTAGTAAAGGTGCAGAAGGTGAATGTTGCTGGATGTTAATAAGAATAACACTGGCATCCACACACATAATCATCTACACAGCCATCCATTTCCACATTCGACATTGGCACCTATACCCACATCAGCATCCACACCGGCAAGCACACGCACAACCGCTCACACTCGAAACCCTGCAACAAAAATGTGGGTGCATGTATGCGCATGTTGCCGGCTACGAAGAAAAATAATGCACACATTCGAAAAGTCACCCACACCCTTGTGTGAATCTCGCTGGATAGAATTGAAGAGCTAACAACAGAGTCTCGTCAATGTGAATCAACAGTTCTGAAGTTTCAAAGCGATCAACTTGAGTATCATCTTGTTATACCAAATTCGTTCAAAGTCCTCAGCTCTATAGATGCTTGGCTACCGTGAACACGTCCGATGATCATTGTGATGGTTATCCCTCAATTTTGAAGATCCGAGTCAGGAATATTATGACATCTCCCCATTTTTCAAAGCTTGTCAAATGAAGATGCATTAAAAAAAAGGAATCACAGACCCGTCATTTATCTAATGTTCATACATTTTTGAATATTTTATTCAATAATGTTGTTCATTTGATCTTCTCCAATCGCTTATCTATAAGTGTTACAAGAAAGAATTTATTCTAATTGAATTTTCATTTTGGAAGTAGATCATTTTAATGGATTTCCAAAAGTACTAGTTGATATCGTTGGTTCGAATGTTGTTAGTCAATGTCACATTCCATTATTGGAATGCTAATGATGAAACGATAGATAGGAAATGTCACTTGTTGATCCACCATCAGATGCACAAGTTTAGAAATGATTTCAATAGAATGAATAACATGAAGGAATTTAATTAATGAAAATCTTTCTCTTTCAATCAGATTTAAATTGTGCTTTTGTTTGATATTGATAGAAAACTTAACACCGTGTGAAAACTTATTACTTAGTGTAACTGATGGTCCAAACCAGATAGATCTTGTAATAGGATGTAGGTTTGAGTGGGCGTGGGCATGTATCGAAAACAATAGAAGACCCACACCCACACTGCGAAGTAAATCAGGACTTCACTTGAAAACAAATCGATTTCGTTCGAATGAAATTCAACAACTGATCGTCTTCAAAAAGAATCTGAAATCTTTTTCAAATCAGAGTTTCTCATCGAATTGAGTGTGAATATTCATTTTAGTCATATCCACACTAAATATCATGCCGAACGCATAAATACTATGCTGCATCTCAAATTTCTCAACGTTGCAGCTCTTTCACACAGCACACATCAGAGAGAAAACTGCCTGAAGAGACTTGAAGTTGTTGTGCAACACTAGTTGACTGAATCAATTGTCTCTTGTGTCCACATCAACAACAAGAACAACATGAAAGACGAATTGTTTGTCATGTGCAAAAGATAAAAGCTGAAAGATTGAGATTGTTCTATTATTTATTCATTCTTGGCAAACATGCGACAAAGAACTCAATGAGAAAGATAAACGACTTTTAGACATTATCAAGAGACCTTCTCGAAAGACTTTTTTCACTATTGCAAAATGGTCGAATGTCGACATTTTGATCGCAAATTGACTCATTTCGTCTTCAAAATTTTAAGAGATGAATTACCATTCGTTAGCATTAAATTTTGAGCTTCACTGATCCGAAACCAGTTTTCCCGCTCACAATTTATGAGAGAACGATTTTTATCAAGAAACGTTATTGGCAGCCTAGTGTTAGGCGTATTGACCTCTTCTTGATCAACCAATTTAGAAAGCGAACACCCATATGGGAGGATAACCATCGATTGATTTAGTCTTAGAACACGCATTCAGAGAAGACACAGTATATTATGGATGAGCCGATCTATTGACGTCATTTGAAAACATAAATTTAGAGCATAGATGTAACTGTTAAACTGTGACCAGTCGATTCGATCCAACGATGGTTCCATAGATGATTTAGAATATCTCTGAATACTGAGTTTCCCAATGTTTTAACATTTTAATATCTTATCATTTGTTATTCGAATAGTTGAATAACTTATCTCTGGAGATAAGCTATTTGGATATAAAATATTTAATAACTGAATTTAAATTTCTGATTTGACATATATGAAAAAGAATAGGCCAGTATGTATATGCTATACTTACATGCAAGGAAGTCACTTTATGATTCATTTGCATGTGTGTTTTAGATTATCCTATTCTGTCCTTTTATTGCTTAAATTCATTAGAAAGGAACAAGAATTAATATATATGATATTGCATATCGTTATTCAATATAAATTTTTTTTTCTTAATCTCTTACTTTAAAAAAACTACATCATGTTTTGGCTTGTAATATCGGTTACTTTGGGGATCATTTCATATATGATTTACAAGAAACACATTAAATCAGTGAAATTTGCTTCAAATGTTCCTCAACAATACGAGCATGCTATTATTATCGGGGGCAGTATTAGTGGTATCGTGACTGCTGCTTACATATCAAAATATTTCAAACGAATAACAATTATCGAATCAGACGATGTATTAAGTGATACATTTATGAAATCTTCCCCCGATGAAATATTAGATTATCGTTGTTGTCTTCAAAGTCCAGCATCACTAGGACGTTCAGGTGTTAGTCAAATATATCAGGGACATGTACTTGAAAGTGAAGGAAATAAAATTCTACTCGAATTATTTTCTCAACTAAAAGAAAAATTATTAAATGAATATGGTGTCCGTATTTATTCAATAAAAAACGAATCACGGCTCGCTGCTAGTGGTATATTATTAAATCAAAATTTAACCGCAGATTTTGACTGGTTGGGTGTTGATCGTTTTACATTAGAAATAGTATTGAGAAAAGAATTATGTTTGCAACTTGGAAATAAACTTGAATGGAAATGTAATGCAAGAGTAACACAACTAATTGTTGATCGATCATTAAATATTGTTAACGGTATAAAATATCGACTGAAGCAAAATATTGACTCGCCAGTATGTTGTATGTATGGCGATTTAATCATTGATTGTACTGGTCGCAATACATCATCAACCAGATGGTTAAAAGAGAGTTTTAATTTAATCGTACCGACTGTACAAATAGATTTTGGTTCTGGCTATGTTACATTTATTGGTGAAAGATTTAAAACCGGAGATCCATTGCTGGATTTAATGCCTATTGTTGGTTGCACAACTAATACTCCTGATAATAATACAGGGTGTTATATAACTCCAATACGCACAATAAGAACTGAAGATAAAAATTCATTAGGAACACTGTCAGTAATTGCGTTTCATAGCGCCAATTCAGAATATCCACCAAATGATTCCTACGAAAATTTATTAGAATGGATAGAAGAGCATCTAGATCCAGAATATTATTCGATATTAAAATCAACAAAAGTACATAGTCCATTAGTTCCATATCGCCATGCAATTGATGATCGAAAGTATGTCGAATTATTAGGTAAAAAATGGCCTCAAAATTATATATTATTAGGTGATGCAATGTGTACATTTAATCCTCAATATGGGCAAGGTATGACACATGCATGCAGACATGCAAGAGAATTGGGAAAAATATTTGACGAGAATTGTCATAAGTTAAAAGATATTTCTCATATTTTCAATCGTCGTGCTTCAGCAATTAGTGAAGAATGTTGGCTTTTGGCGACCACAAATGATTGGAAAACACCGACATTAAAAGTGATAACAACTGACAAACATGGTGAAATTAAAATTTATCAACGACATGGCAATTCTGCTCAAAGTAACGATCGTCAACTGCATTTACCTCTAACGGTTCGGTTTTTGCAATGGTATTCTCCTTGGTTTCTTCAATGTGCATCCAAATCTGGACGGTTGTCTACGGATTTGTTACGTGTTGTTAATCAGCAAGCCAGTCCATTTATACTACTGAAACCAGCAACGTTCTTAGCAGTCTGTCATATTGCCTTAATGAATTATTTTAAGTTATCTAAAAAATAATCCGCTTTACTCGAGTTCTTGATTTCTTCTTATATCCAAACTTTTGTAATTTCTAGAGTTTTAAATATTCAATTATCAATCATTTGAGGGTGCCTCTTATCCATACCCAAATTGTTAGAAATCACTGACGGCAAGGGATGACGTTGATTTTCGATGATTTCTATCAGAAACCGCGAAATGAATTATGAGTTTGTGTCTCATATCACTATATTCGTCTTATAGACTTTTGACGTCAATTTTCGATAGAACTTCGTATAAAGTCTGAATGAGTCGACGAAGATGGAACAGTTACAAACCATTTATACAGTTTGTACAAAAATCATAGTCATGCCTACATCACTAAGAATATCCCAACTGAATTCAACATTATTTTCCGAAAACTATTCTGCATAGATGTGGGTGGGTGTCAGATGAAGAAGAACAACCACGCCAACATTCTCTAAATATCGCTGCAGGTACGGATTTGTATATGAGTACAAATGAAGGGTGGGTGTACATGAAAAGAAAAAACGCTTCAGCGCAAACCTCCAAAGCCAGAATCTCAATCGGCACATCCATATCCAGCATTTGCTGATGACATCTTCATAAATAATTTTTTGAAAGCATATCTTTCAACGTTTCTAGCATTTAACTTTCGACTTTTCCAGTATTTTTACTTGTCGACATTTGTTTTTCGACCACAGTTTAGAGTATGAAAAATTTCATCCGGTAAATCAGATAAACAAGTTACATCACAACGAATATATTTCATTGATGATGAATGTAAGTCTAATAAACAAAATCATTCATTCAAATTGACAGAGATCATTTTAGATGCCCAGTCAGACAAAGCTCTAAAAATAACGCGTTAAAACGCGTAAAATTTCTGCAGATTCATGCGTTTTAACACGTTTATAACGCAAATTTAATTCGTTTCAACGCGTTCAAAGCACGACAAGTACATTAACGGAGAAATATTAGTTATGAAAAAGTATTTATACATGTAATTTTCTTGACGGATTTTATTATGTATGGTGTTCACCATTTATTTTACGGCTTTCTAAAGCAACCAAACACACTTAGATTAATCATCTTTTGTAGATTAGCTCAAACGAACAATCTTTTTTCCAATAACTTGTATGTTAATGAACACACATATTCTCCTTTTATCTTTTTACGAGAATCAATAGACCTGTTTTACGAGTAGCTGCCTAATTCGAATTTGAATATAAATGAGAACTTCAAACGCACACCCCTTTTCTAATGACCAAAACGAAAAATAGAATTTTATTCGAATTCGAATAAAATTTTACGTTTTGCTATGCTAAGCTTGGAAACATAAGTGCTTCATTTTTTTTCGAAGTGATTCTATGCAATTGAGGTTTCATTTATATTCGAATTCGAATGAGGCATCTTGTGGCTTTCTCTATAGACAAACAAAAAAAAAGATTAATTTAGTGTGAGAGATTCAATTAAAAAAATTAAGTTTTTGTGAACTTGATTTTTCTGACTTCTTTTGGCATGTGTTTTAAGCTTTTCGGATTGTGATCTTCTTAGAATAATATATAAAACATCGAGAACATTGTATCTAAATAAGTTTGATATCATCTAACCGCAATTCTAGGAAAACATGTGAAGTCTGGAAAAGATAATTTGAATAACCGATACCGTTTATTTAAATATTGAAATGCATTTTCTTCTGTTTTCTTTCTCGATGAGCGATCTCGTGACTTGATTTATTCAAACAAAATTCTCACATTATCATACGCATCTAATTTATCGGATTAAACGTTTTGTAGACAATTGCTTTTTTCTATCTAATGATCTGAACATCGTTGCGAATATAAGTTAACCTTTTTCAAAAATAGCGCAGTCAATGAAATGGCGGAGTTGATGCAACGCCATCTATAATGAATTTCCGAAAAATTTCTCAGAAACAATTGAGTTCAATTCTAACTGAAGCTTCAATCATTAAATAGAAAAAAACTGAAAACTTTTCTATGTCAATCATTCCAAATGAAATAGTATGTATATTCAAGTGCATTTTTTTGAATCATTAGACTATGGATTATCTATTCTTATGGCTCTTGTTTTACATTCATCTATTATTTTTCTTAATTACTTTATGTGTTACAAGATAAATCTTTTAAGTATTATTGTAAATTTGACTCTAACTCAACAAACTACCCTGTTAGATAAAATCGATAAAAAAAACAATTTTACGCGTAAAAATATCCGATTATTTGATTTAAAAAATTTTTTTTTTCGAAAAAGGCAGGTTGCAAGACAATGAGGACCATAAACTTGCTCTTGAGAGAAAAACATCAGCTTTGCACTATAAAAGAAGCATATTTTTCATATTAGAATGAGCCAATAGGAGTCCGTCACCTGTCAAACAAACAATGAAAAAAGAAATGATAAAAAGCGACCATTTTCATTTCTTTTTTCGTTCAAATTTATAAACGCGTTTTTACACGCTTTTTTAAATGGTTTGCCTGTAAACACTACATAGTATTCTAGTAGAAAGTCTTAGAAGATTTGCGTTTCTTTTGAGATTTGACTAAGCTTTTCATTGTTTAATAGCTATTTGCAATAAGTCCTTCTGTAGAAGCCCGAATTTTCAGAGAAATCTAAACATCGATTTTTAAGTTAAAACTTTGCGCGTGCCAACACCTTATCTAAGCTAGCCGTCAGAAAGAAAATTCAGCATTTTAGAATCAAGTCTTTGATATATGGAACTGCCCAAAAAGATCGCGTTCTATTCACTATCTATGAAAAAAGAATTATCTCTTGAAAGTTTCATATGTCATCGACGATTTGTTCCAAACTTCTGAATTTTTTTTGTGGCTGTGGTATAGATAAGGTGTTGACATGCGCAAAATTTTAACACAAAACTCGAAGTTTAGATTTCTCTGAAAATTCTGGGTCCTATAAAAGGACTTCTTGCAAATAGACATTAAAAATTGAATAGCTTAGTCAAATCTCAACAAAGACATAAACTTTTTAAGAGTCTCTACCAGAATACTATGTAATGTTTACAAGCAAGCAATTAAAAACAACGTGTAAAAAAGCGTTAATAAAACTGAACGAAAAAGAAATCATCCAAAGCGTATATCTTAACACATTCAAAACGTATTAAATTTCTTAACGAAGTTAAATGCATTGATACATTTTAACGAAAAAAAGTGAAAATGTGCGCTTTTTATGATTTTTATTTCGTTAAAATTTCGACGCGTTTGTACGCGTTATTTTTCGCCGGTTGTCTGACTGTGATCCGCACCCCACCCACACACCCTACAAATTTTGGGAATGAGCCATGTTCCCAATTCGCTTGTTGGCCACGAATATGTATAAAATTGTGGCCACTATAACTTGTTTGTTGCTAAGGACGGTCTCTTTTTCTTTCATCTATCTTTCTCAATCGTCTTACTGGTACGTACCAGTAAGATGATTGAGAAAGATAGATGAAAGAAAAAGAGACCGTCCTTAGCAACAAACAAGCTATAGTGGCCACAATTTTATACATATTCATGGCCAACAAGCGAATTGGGAACATGGCTCATTGATTTCATCACAGCACACATGATACGAAAATGTAACGTAATATCGTTTAACAAATATGCGTGTGTGAGTAGGAATGCGATATGCTTCTTGAAAAGAAAAGTTTAGCTTAATTTGTCATGAACTGCTGTCAACTTATTGCTTATGATAGAATGGACATTTTTGTAGCGGAACTATGACGAAATTCCAAATTTCAGGCAGCAGAACGGGTTCATTTTCTTATTTGAGCGGCATTTCTATATGTTCTAAATTATCTGTTCCAATTGGGAATGTTTTTTTCGTGTGGTGTTCTAATAAAGTACAGTATACTTATTTAGAACAATCAAGGTGTTTGAAATCTATTGATATCTCAATCATTGAAAATGATATAGAGCTCAACCTAGAGATAAATACTCTTTATTGAACAAGGAACATTTCTTATTCTTGGAAGAATTCAAAATTCTGAAGTTAAGATCCTAAAACAGTGTTTTTTTCTTAATTTTAAAAGTTTTCACTTGTTCTTTGCTTAGTGATCTTATTTGCAACAGTTTTTTGCTTACTGTTATAATAAGAAAAAGTGCTCTTATTTAGAACAGATGCGTTCATCTTTAAGCTACCACTAATTACTCCTTTATTTTTAAAGATAAATTGATGATTTTTATATCGTTCGATAGAGAAGACCATGCCACTCTCAATTGTATAAGAGAATCTAAGAACAGTATAGACAAAGTTTAAGTTGTAGAAGGTTTTTTCACAGCGTTCGAAAAGCTGTTTTGAATAGGAACATTAATCTTACTAATTTTATAATGAAGTGTCGTCGCAGAAATAGTAGTTGACTGTTATAATGTAGGACAAAAACAAAACTTACCGTCGTAAGTAGGGACAAAACATTACTGAAAAGTCATAATTAGGGATAAAAATTGGCTGAACGGTCAGAATTAGGGACAACTGTTTTTTCGTTACCCTTAGATGTCTTCATTTCAAGATCTGCATCTTCATAAATGAAAATACAGTTGTCTTGAACCTTTGGATTATGATGGAACTTGATCCGCTCTATAAAACTTTCTCGTATACCTTCCCTCCATCTCTCATCAAACACATAAAAAAAGTAGCTTTTTTTCCTAAAATTGAGTTTTTCTATGTAATTTGTTAGAAGCGTCGTAATTAGGGAATTCTTTTTGACTGGTTGTCATAATTATGGATGTACTACCTAATTATATCAGGTGAAGGTATTTTTCGTAGACCGATAATTTCACTATGAAAACACGAAAAATGAAAGATCAACAATATATCGTTTGAAAGAGGAGAATACAGAGATTACCTAAATATATAAATATTTTTGATCAGATGTGAAATAGTCTCACGCTAGTTGAAACAAAAAACGGCACAATTTTTCGGACAGCATTAGGGAAATGTACTATAGACTTTGACGTGCTTTATCCAATAGTGAAATCCAATTCATAATATCTGGAACCATTCAT